TCTGGTTTATTTCTTGCTTGCTTAGGGAAGAATTGGAGCATATTTTCAGCAGTTTGCTCTGGTTTATTTTTCACTTGCTTGGGGAAGAATTGGGGCATGTTTTCAGCAACTTGCCATCACCTAGGAATTGCTGTTTGATCAGGTCTTGAGTTCCTGCATCTTGAGGACAGTAATCCAGTATCTGCTTCTTATGGAGGCCAGCAGTAGAAACTTCAGAAGAAAGTTTTAGCTGGAAGAGAGGACGGTATTGCCACCCAGGGATCTGTTATCTCTTACCATATGTGTGAATATGCTTTAAGATGAGATTGTTGTAATTTTTAAAGACTGGTAATTGATAACTTTGCTTTTGGACTGTGACATCTTGGAGTTAAAAGTTCCTTTGTGTGTCCAAACAATATTTAATGCCTCCTTAGGTAGTGTGCTCATGAGAGGTAGAGGTGCCCTTGTCCTGACCTTAGCTCTTGTGACTTAGGGATGGCTTCTCTTTGTATTTCTGGTCTATTTTTGCCATGTTTCATTATTACTTGTAATCATGATGCATTTCAGGTAGTTTCTCATCCATTTCTGAACTTAGTTCCTTTCTCAGAAAAGGGTAGTGAAGGTGAATGAGTGTTAGTGTGCATAAGAATTCAAATGGATTTTTAATTTTTAGTTCTCTAAATACTTATGAGAAAAATGTCAGAGTGCTTATTCTAAAAAGTTTAACCTGTTAAGTGTGGGAAAATACAATTCATGCCCTGGAAAGGTGGAGTCAGCATCCATCAGCAGTCTCTGACATTTACTGCCTTGATTAAGGCTGGCAGGTGATCTTAAACATTATAATGTTCAATCTTGATCTTAAACATTACAGAAAAAAGCTTCATTCTAGAAGAGATGTGATTATCTTGTCTTTCTGACTAGGCCTTAACTTGCCCAGGATTCTTGCTTAAAGTCCAATGATTATTTTCACAAGCTCAAAATACAGGCCTCAGCACAAGTTCTAGAATCATGTGTCTTGGTTTCAAGCCATGATGATTATTAAACGATCCTGGTTAGAGTTGTTTTCTCTTAGGTCGTCCTAGAGAACAATTAATTAAAACCTTTAGCTTTTTCTCCCCTTGTTTTCTCATCCCAGTGACTTGTATTTTGAAAGCTTTTGTGGTGACCTTGAACGGAGCTTGCAGTTTATTGGCAGGGAGAGAGCAGAGTGGCTGAGCTGGAGCTGTGGAGCAGTGACTACTTCCTAGACGTTGCTGTAACTTCACACCAAGAGCTTGTTTCACTGAAACTCGTCAGTATGGTTGTGTTTGCAGTTTTCTTTTGGGGGGGTGGGGAGGGTGGTGTGGGGGTTGCATTTCCCCTGGTAGGCTAGCAAAAGCATTTAACTTGCTGTCATTTGGAGATAACTTGTATAACTGCAGAAAACTGTGTTGTTCTGGCCTGTCCCCTTTGCACTCTGATGACTGCTGTCCTTCCTCCCTTCGCAGGGAACATGGGATTACTAAATAACTCTAGTCTGCCCCTGTGACTGACTCCTTGCTTTCTAAGTTTGATGGGCTGTTGGTTCAGCTTTGACACTAAAGCTATTTGTTGCTGGTACGTTGTTAGATGGCAACAGTCATTTGTCAGTTAATAGCAATTAACTGTCATTCCAAACCCTGGGCTTCAGCTGTCAGGCACCTGAATTTTATTTTTGAGCCTAGGACTACAGCGAGGACACTTCAAAAAGCTTCTAGTTTCTCTTTGGCATTCCCTTCTTAGTACTTGGTGGGTGGAGAGATGTTAGATGGGACAAGCCAGTGGCGTTTCTGCAGTGGCAGCTCTGTATTAGACAAGGCTGCAGTAGAAATTAAGCAAATCATCTGAAAAACTCACTCCCAGATGCCAGTCGTGTGCCTCCTTGCTGTGTGGTAGTAGGTAGTTGGAAGGTGTATACTTTAAAAAATAAAATAAAGGAGAGGGGGAAGTGTCTAGGTCTTAATGCTGAATAGAACATGTAAAGGGTCTGTATTGTGTGTCCCCATGTGTATAAGCTACTGTTGGTGCTTGGAATGCTTGAAAGGAAGAAGGTGTCTTTTGAAAGCTATATTTTGGATATGCCTATATAGTCATAGCATTAAAAAAATCATATTGATGTAACTTGAACCTTCTGCTGTTCTCTGTGAAAAAATAAATACTGTAATACTTGTGTTTACCTACCAGTTTCGGCCAGTTGACTTTCTGTGCAGGGTGCTGTCTCAGCACCTCCCCTCACATCCCTCTGTCCTCTCCCTCCATGGCAGCTATCCTGCCAGCCTGAGCCCTGGAACTCTTTTGTTCTCAGCTTGATCAGCCCTGGTCTAATTCACTGTGTAGCTTTTGTAATGGCACAAGGGAGCAGGGAGGAGAGGGACAGGTAGCATAAATTGGTGTTACCACAGAAGGAAACAAAGCAGAACCAGATCAGCTAAATTTGGTGTTGCAGGGGGATTTGGGGATTTAGTACAAGGTCCACTTGTGGGTGTCTCTTAAAGGGAATGATGGACAAAGTTTTGAGAACCTTGACAAGAGTAGTGGTTTGGAAAAGTAGGACTGGTGGAGGACACAGGGGTGTTTTGTTGGTGTTGGTTTGTGTTTTTTTTGTTTCTTTTCCCCTTCCAGTTGGACTCCTGGTCTTCTGCCACCTCAGTGACTGAATGTGGCACTTTATGCCATGGTCCAGTTGACATGGTGGTGGTTGGTCATAGGCTGGACCTGATGATCTCAGAGGTCTGTTCCAACCTAATTAATTCTGTGATTCTCATCAGAGATAAATGACAAGAATTTCAGTCCTCAGAAAGCTTAAAAAAAGAACATATCAATGGTTATTCTGATTGAAGAACAGAAATAAATGTTTGTTTTGCAGCAAAGATGACTTGAGCTTACTGATGAGAAAATACTTTCTACCTGATCAAATAGGGAACCGTTGGACAGGGTTATGGAGGGGAGATTACTCTGTTTTTGTTTAACTGATATCTTGTGGAGGTAGCCTAGGTGTACTTGCTTGTGTGGTTTGATGCAACACAATTAACTCTCTTGAACCATTTTTATAAGGCAGTTTGTGTTTTGTCTTCACTGTCTGCAGATCAAAACAGTTTCAGATTTGGTGGCTTTGTAATACCATTAAGCATAAAACTAGTTAATACTCACATATTGTAACTAATTCTGTAAGGCATGTGAAGAAAATTCAAGTATAGTGCTGAGGAATAACTTACAGAGATTCTTCTGCCTTCAGTGTCAGACTTTGGTACAAGATGATGATGTGTTCAGAGCTTTAAAAAAGGTAGTTAAATCTGTGCAAACTCACTTGCCAAACTGTTCTAGTGCAAAACTACTTAAACTCTCAAAGCTGTAACTTACAGTAATCATACTTCACCTTGGGCATGTGGATTTGTGTAATAACAGGTAACATACTTACTTAGATGAGGCCTGATGAGAGGTTTCATCCCTGTTTTGTAAGGAAGTATCTGCTTTGATTAATAGGAAGAAGGTTGACTGGATCAGGTTGTGGCAGAATGAGGGAGTCTGAGCAGCATCAAGTCTGAGCCTTGTTTCAGCCCAGTTTTGTAGGCTGATGCTGTATTGAAGGCAGGGAATGTAGATCTCAAAGAAAAGGTAGATGATACAGAGGACTTCCCAAACAGGGATTGTGTCCCAGAGGGCAGGGAGTAGGCACTGGAGTATTTGCTACTCGGCTCTCCTTCAGGCTTGTTCAGAGCAGTGGTTGTAGCAAAGGGTGTTGTGAGCATCAGCCTTGTGGAAGGCACAGGAGAGCATCTGCTGAGTGCTGGGAGACATGTCTGTCCGTAGTACTTTCCTCTGTCAGATGTCTCACTGCTCCATCAAGCACACAGATCAGGCTCATGGCTGTACTCATGAGGAGTTTGTGGGGAGCAGATCTGGATCAGACTGGCAGGAGTTTCCTTTGCCAGGCTTCTGCCTGGGAAACTCTAGGGTAAAAGATAGGCTATAGAGTGGTTTGCCAAGGTATGAATCACTATAGTGCCTTATTATTTTTAGTTCCCTGTTGGATGCAGTAGGTATCTCATCCTTACAAGAGAAGGGGCAGAGTGGGGTTTTAATCCGTAACAGGAGCATATGTACTCTTCAGTTCATTAGCATTCCTTGAAATACAAAGTGTTCTTTTCGAAGCTCTCAGCTGGTGCAGGTCGTTCAGTCTTAGGAGCAGTTGTGAGCTGTGTGGCTTGTCCTCCATGCAGGTCTCTCTGAATGTGACGCATGCAGATGTGGTTTGAGTAGGTGAGGAGGGAGGGACTGTGGAGCTCCTGCAAAAAGAAGGCAGCAGCAAGCAGAAGATGGGGCACCAGCCATGACTCACTCCCTGCTCCTGGCTCGAGAGTTTGCCATGAAAGCAGGTGGTAAGTGGGGGTGCAAGCTGTGGCCTGTACAAAATGTTTCTTAGCAGGTACTTTCATGGTTTTGGCCCATGCTTTGAGGTTTATGTACTGGAAAAAATAGAGCAATACTGAGCTTGGGTAGTGTGGTTTCCTATGTGAACATCAATTATATAATTTGTTTGTTGTGTTATAACTAATGTGGATCTCCAGGCTGTTCAGTTTAGTTTATGTTTCTGCGGCATTAGAGTTTGGAGTGATGGATGATACTTTCTGTTGCCATCCAGAGAGTAGGTGCAGGAGGATACACTGAGAATGATGAGCATTAAACCAGGACACAGTAGCCTTACTGGAGAGGAGCTAGTTTGTTGCCGGAGGCTCAAGAGCAGAGCTGTAGGTGCTGTCTGTGTGATAAAGATAGCTGTCAGCTGCATAGAACATTTTTGCTTTTGGAGAAAAGACTAATCGGTTGCTAAAAATTCTTGGGCTTTAATACTTATTTAAATCCAGTCCAAGTCAGTGCCTCTGAGCCAGCAGGTCCTGCTAGATATTTTAAGAAATGCGGGGTTGGTACCTTCCTTGGGGAAGGCTGCTTGATGTTGAATCAGTACTGTTCTAATAATGAACTTTTTTTTGATTTTAGGAAACTTGTGAAAGATGGTGGATCGCTTGGCAAACAGTGAGGCAAATACTAGAAGAATAAGTATAGTGGAAAACTGCTTTGGAGCAGCTGGTCAACCTCTGACTATTCCTGGTCGTGTTCTGATTGGAGAGGGAGTACTAACAAAGCTGTGCAGGAAGAAGCCCAAAGCGAGGCAGTTTTTCCTGTTCAATGACATTCTCGTTTATGGTAACATTGTCATCCAGAAGAAGAAATACAACAAACAGCATATAATCCCACTGGAAAACGTCACTATTGATTCCATCCAGGATGAGGGAGACTTGCGGAACGGGTGGCTTATCAAGACACCAACTAAGTCTTTTGCAGTTTACGCTGCCACTGCCACAGAGAAGTCTGAGTGGATGAACCACATAAATAAATGCGTTTCCGATTTGCTTTCCAAAAGTGGGAAGACTCCTAGCAATGAACATGCAGCTGTCTGGGTGCCAGACTCGGAAGCCGCTGTGTGCATGCGCTGTCAGAAGGCAAAGTTTACGCCCGTGAACCGTCGCCATCACTGCCGCAAGTGTGGCTTCGTGGTGTGCGGGCCTTGCTCCGAGAAGAGGTTCCTCCTCCCCAGCCAGTCTTCCAAGCCCGTACGAATTTGCGACTTCTGCTATGACCTTCTTTCTACTGGAGAGATGACTGCGTGTCAGTCCACTAGGTCAGACTCCTACAGCCAGTCACCTAAGTCGTCTTTAAATGACGTATCTGATGACGATGATGATGAAGACAGTAGTGATTAAGGACCAAACGTTTTTTCCATGTGTTGCAAGTTGTGTTTCAAACCATATGGAGCTGCTTTTGGGGAAGTCTGTAGTGAGGTTCCTCAGAAAACCCCTGTTCTAGCCATAAAATATGCCTGAATATCTTCAATTGCGATGTGCCTCAATCTATAAATTCTCTAGACAATAGTTGTTTATTTCTCCTCTGCAGGGATAGACTGGTGCAAATGTTATCAGAGTATTTTCCAACTTGTTGTACTTGAGTTGTGTCTAGGTTAGACTTTCGTGGAAGGTTGGAGAATAAAATGTACTTTCTTAATTTAACAACCCATACTTTCTAATGTTTCATATCGATACGTTGTTATGTGGGGTTTTTTGGACATGGAGAGGAAGACTGTAAGCATGCATGGAACAGCGATGTTTTCGTTAGTCCCATAGATGATCTTGTTTTTCTAGTCATGGCATGTGATGACATGACTTGCAAACCTAAATGTCATGACACTTGGAAACTTTTGTTTTGCTTCCTATGCCAAGCAGTGCCTTGTACCAATTGTGCTGATTCAGGAAGAAACCAACCTGTTTTCTGTCGTCTGTATCTGCCTAATGCTGGTATCTGAGAGATTGTTGGTGCTATTGAAAATAACTGCTGTGTTCAAAGTGGAGCTTTGACAAGGTAATAACTATTCCCCATGGTGGGTGACGGAGACCTGAATCACGTGTCCTCACCTGTGCAGGCAAAAGGCTCCACAGATTCCCACAGGCTTCTGTGGAGTTCTCCTTGCACAAGTTGTGTTGTGGGTTGGGATATTGAGATGAGAAACTTAGGGAGACTCTTCATGGGGATTTATAAGTTTTCTTTTCAGAGCAGTTTCTGAGTTTCAAATTTGGCAAATGCATACTGAAATTTTAATTGGGTGATACAACATTTAGATGTGATAGCCTATATATTTTTGGAAGTAATTCTCGAAAATGACACTAAATTTTTTCTTGGAACATCTGTGAGAGGGTTGGATTTTCTTTCCTCCAGAAGTTTTATTGGCTCATTTAAAAACAACCTCATATTTTGAGCAAAAAGCCTGCAAGTATCTATATAAAATTGACTTTCCTTTTTACACAGCTGACCTCAGGAGAAATGTGAGATGCAAGTTATTTCATTCTAAATGTATATCCAGGACCAAGAAAGATGTATTTAAGGACTATAATGTAATCGTCAGTGCAGAAAATGTCTCTACCATAGTATTGGTTTTTACTTGTTGAATACATGAGTGTCATGTTCCCATATAAATGTAAAAGTTAGACTTGCAAAGATATGTTAAACCCCCAGATATATGTTCCTGTATTTTTATAATGTTAGTGTCACTTTTGAAGCAAAAAAACCTCTTTGAAATAGTTGTATGGATATAGTAGCAACCAAGTTTATACAAAACAAGTGTTAAACTTTTGTATCTCTAATTGACAATTTCTGCACTGTTTGCCTTGGTTGGCAATAATTGGGTTAAGTATTTATTGAATAAACAATCAATGCTGCATGTTGCACTAATCTCCCGTTCTGTATGCTGAAAGTGTCAGTCATATTCTTGTTATGAAAATCAGCAGAGCGCTTCAAAGCTGTAGCCCTCTGAGATTTCTGGTAGCTGGAGATGCACGTAGCATCTTTAGGGAGGCACTCTACATTCATAGCCTGCAAGACATTGTTTCAGGTGAAAATTGGATATGTACCTTTAGTTTAGACAATTTCTAAAAATAAGGCTCTTTTTAAAAGCACTGAAGAGTACTTGGAAACAAGTATGCAACGGGGGAAAACACTTTCTAATGCAGACTTGGGACTAGGAAGATTCTGTAAAATCGCCAGATAAACAACTGTATATATTGAAAGACTTGCTGAGATAAGTAATTGCATATTTGTATCCCTTGAAAGCTGGGGGAGCAGTGACCTGCAGCAGGGAAAATGGGCTGTTCAGAGAAGGCACTGTGAGTTAATAGGGCTTACCTTTTGTACCTCTCAATACTACTATTTCAGGAATGGAGACTTGTCAGCTTCAGTTTTTCTACAGAATCAAAGTACAGACCTCCCTTGTACAAACCTCCTAATGACTAACAATCATTTTCTTCCTTATGCAATTGTTTCCTCTTTCTTAAGCTGTCAAATATTAACTTGTCTTGTTAAAGAGTCCATCTCCTTGTGTACTTTTCCCTTTGTTTCCATATGTTGGGCTTACTTTTCAGCACTTTTTAGGGGTGGGAAAAGGGTTGCCGAGAGATCACATCCTGTATCTTGAGAATGTTCTTGTACCTACTTTAGATATCTTTATCTGTGAATGAACTTGCACTGCTGCACTGATCCCTGAAGCTGTAACCAAACCAATGACTGCGTGTGGGATTTTTTGTCTGAAATTGATGTATATGGTCCAAGCTTTTTTAAAAAGCATTAAAAAAGTGTTGTTATGGTAATACTCTTATTCTTCAGTGACATTTGTTGAAAACTTTGCAAAATAGATTTAACCTTGACTTTTCTTGTAGTTAAAAGTTCCTGAAAGGGCTCATTTTGTACTTTGTAATCTTGTTCTGTCAGATTGTTTTATTTACAAATATATGGTGTAGCTTCAAGCCTATGTGTTTAATTTTCTTTAACTGTGGGCCTTCAAAGGTGAGAGAAATTAGAGTGGCTGGTTTTTATGTTTATTCACTGTTAGGAGGGATTAATAAACTGGGATCATAAGCATACAGGAGGGGATTTAAGACTAATTTAGAAATAAATGTAGTTACGCATTTAGAAGCCACTTAGGCATTTAAGTAGCAGTTTAAAACAAGGATGACCAAGTGTGTTGCAAAATTTGGCTTTTGTTGGACCAGTGTCAGTCGAGCCACTGGAAGAGGCTGGAGGGACTTTCATGTGTGGCAAGGTGCAGAGCAGCTCACCCCAGTGCTACAGGTCCCAGTGCTCAGCCCTGTCAAACCACCACTGGGGATGAGACTTCTTGTGGTATCAAACTGGAGAGTAACTTGGTACTTTTTCCAGAGCTTCTGCACTCTTAGGGTCTTACAATAGTGATCAGATATGGTCAGTCTCTGTGTATTTTGTATATTTTTTTGTGGCAGATTTAACCTGCTCTTTTTTGATGAGCTTTCCAAATGCAGAGAGATGAAAGCAGCAACCTGTGTCAGCTCTGCAATCAGCTTCTGCTTTGTAGAAGATTCTGGATTGGAGAAATAAAGACATGTTTGCTTTAGCAAAGAGTTGACATTTTGCACACTCTTTACCAGTACTTCATAGTTCTTTTGCTGAAAAAATCAAAGGAAAGACAAAGCCTACTAATTTTAGCCTCTGCACCTAAACTGCTGTTAAAATAGATTAAGCTGTTTCCCTCCCAGATTTGATGCAGCTGAACTTCCTGTAGTGAGTGATCTGGGGGTCAAGCGCTGCTAGTCAGCTGAAAAAAAGTTTAACAAAATGGGGGAGTGGATTAGTGAGTGATGAGTTTGCAGTGGAGCTTTCAAGGCCTTGTCTCTTAACAGGCAGATTATGAACATGACATGCAGAAACCTTGTATTTATGTGGGGCTTACCCCCCCCACACTCCCTCCCCCGATGGGGGATATGCTTTAGCTAATCTCTTAATTCAAATGAAATGGTGATCATCGTAGTTGCCAGTTGATGTTTGAGTGGAAGCAGATTATGGATTATATTGTGGGTTTTGTATTCTCCTGTAATCCCTGAACTGACAGAAGAATGCCTGGTTCTGTTAGCAGATACAGTCAGAAAAGGGTCAGAGTACTGATGTCCTCTCCGCC